TTCCTGCAATGAAACTTCACATTAAGCTAATAGTAAAAGTAGTATGACAAAATGTTTTCAAGCAGGGCAGGATACTTTAAATGGGAAGATCATCGGATGCGAGCATACAAAGGTACCAGCGGTGGAACAGCTTTCTCTATCAGTGCCTGTGACGATCATCAAAATTCTGGAGATACAACGGTCAGTATCTGAAATGTTAATATCACACATCTATAGTCACTTTAGAATCTCTATTTTTAAAAAACAAGGGACCGAGTCTTAATCATAACTTTTGTATTTCAAGAAAATATTGATATGTTCACTTTTAGCACCTATCAATCATCAAAATGTACGAACCTTGGATTTTTACAGGCATTCACAGGCGTTCCTATGGGTGCCCTGACTTATAGTTTCATCCAAACATTGGAGCAAGAGACTAAATTGACTTATGGACGGCTAATCATGAGTATGCAAAATAAGATTCAAGAAACACAGAAAGCACTAGGCCTTAATGGTGCAAATGAAACTCAGGTACGCTTTTACAAGATTGTCAATAATAAATTTAAAAAAATCAGTGTATCATCATCATGCTTGTCTAATGCATTTTATTGGTCTTGCCCAGGAGCCTCAACTATCCTCATCTGAGCCGTTTGATATACACTCGAAGCTGGTGGCTATATAGGACTCATGTATTCAACTCTAGCTTGCGTATGGCTTCTTTCACCATCACATGTAGATTTCTTCGTAATATTGTTCTGGCGTGAATCCTGATGGTATATTTTCGTTGTGTTTACTTTATCAATATTGATGAACAAACTTCCAAATGGAAATTTGCTCAGTCAACTTGTCTACAGCTACATGTGTCTCATCCTTTATGTCATGAATTTACAGCAGAGTTTGTCATTTCGAACAGGGAGTGGAAGATAATTGTACTACATGAACAACTGGAAATATAAGGAAACACAGTTTTACATGTTAGGCTAAAAATCACCACATCCCAGCTAGTCATTAGTTTCTAACAGATTAAATATGCAATAACCTGTTAATAGATATCAGGCAAAATCTCAGGGTTGTTTTCGACATAACTTAGTTCTTAAGGGATGTTTCTATGTTGATATATCACAAAATGAAGTGAGTACTGGAAGAATAAAACTTTGAAATGTTAATAAACCAGAGAAGTCAATGTAATCTGCAGGAAAGAACATTTGAGGCCTGAAATTAAGATAGATAGTCTGCTCAATTTACTGTAAATTGGAGCACTTTATAAATAATATAAATGTACATATGCTCTAGACTTGTAAAAATTGAACTAAAGAAAGGTAGTTACAAGACATAGCTAGCTGCTACACGTCTTTAGACCTTCATAGGCATATTCCTGCTAAGGAGCAAAACCTACACAAACTGATGAACCAGATAGGAGGAATTAACATAGCAATATATTTTTTCCTCCACTACCCATTAGAGACTCTTTAGTTGCCAGAAAAATGGGCTCCATGTATAGTATCAATCTAACTCAAAGGTTTTTCATGGAAAATTCATCGAAGCAAGAGCTTACGAGAAGCTGTGCACCAGCGAGTGTAGCAATCATGGAGGTTGGGCCAGTCGGAAGAAGGGCAATAGGTGAAATGGTGAAGCCAAAGGGACAACACCTTTTCTTGCTCCTCTTCTTGTTCCAATGTCCATATGATCTGCTCTAATATTCTTTCAAGCTCAGCCCTTTCGCTAATACTCAGGACTGGAGAGTCTGTGCCATTGCTTGCTCGACATAGCAATGGCAGCCATGACATCAGCATATTCATGTTTGTTCGCCTGCGATGCTCTTTTGTACTTTCTTCATCCTCGGCAATCTTTACTATTTCTCTGGATTGTTTGAATAAGAAAGCTGCAGAAAGAGAAATTCAGAACATGGCACTTTTACAATCTAAAAAAAACAATTAAATAAGACAAATGGTGATAACTTTATATCATAACAAATATCAAATTTGAAAGCAATTCACGTAGTACCCATTAAAAACTTTCAATTCAAATGGTTACAGAAAGCTGAGGAATTCACAGAGAACTTTTATGGCCATAGAAGCTTGTAGGGAAGGCTTCTTAAAAAGGCTTGTTTCACATGAACCGTGTTTTACACAGCTAATTTGCATAGAAGGGTTCTAAGCTTATGCAGCAGGAAACCATAAACGTCTATTTCTTGATCGCAGTCTACTCCTTTGCCTCGAATATAGAAATACGTGGATAGCAATACGAAAGACTCTACTCTTGCAGAAATCTAGTGTAAATTGTAAAAGGATTTTAAAGATGTTTGAAGGTAAATGTGAGGCTGTACAATGCAAAATATGTAGGTGTCTGCAATCATTCAGGTTTATGCAGTTGCTACTACAATCTAAATACCCCACTGCAGTGCAAATACAATGAGAAATTATTAGGCGATTGGACATGCTAATTCACTAGATTGATCATAATCCATATCAGATGAGTTCTCTGTGCATATTTTGTTCAATACAGATCAACTTTTACTTTAAATTTATCGTATAATTTATGCTCGATATCTCCGTGTACAACAACAATATGCTTCAATCTGAAACAGATCCATAACTGCAAGCATGGAATTGCAAAAATTAGAAAATGCAATTAAAGAATATTCCATAAACAATTACCTGAAACCTTAACAAGAGACCCCTGAAGCCGCGGTTCAGCAGAAAGAGCAACCCAAGCAACATGTGAAGCCGAAGCCCACATATAAACAGCTTCATCAACACAACCACAAGCTTCCATCTTCTGAGCAAGCCATAACAACTCCGCCGCCAGCTTCTCAGCCGAGCACCCAAATTGGCTCATCTGGTTCCTCGCCCTACCGCGCTGCCACACAACGTCTCCATAATACCTAATCGCCCTCAAACCGCGGCTCAACTTACCTACGTAATCACCGCCATCTCGGCCTCCACCAGACACAAATCCACTAACACCTCCGCCTTCTTCCGCCATCATGGCGGATTCAAGCTGATTAAGCGTCCGCGTAAAAGCCGCAGACAAAGCGGCGCAATTCACTTCCCTCAATGCTTCGTTACCCTCCAAGAGATTTTCATCAATTAGCCTCTCGGCCAATGATCTCACAACTTCATATTTCCTTGAACTCACCGGAATATCATTCACAATTGACAACAATTGAGTCAAAGCCCTAGATATCCCCGACTCCGCACCGCCGCCCGCGGCGGCCGGAGAATAAATCTCCCCCTTTTTAGGCTTCAAAGGGTAACCGTAATTTTCTCCGGAAGGATTCAGCGAAGGAAATAAAGATGGTAAAAGGCGAAGAAAGAAGAGAAAAGCTGAAATCAAGAAATAACGTATAGTTTCCAGAAGTTTATATCTTTCTGCTAAGAGAATGAAGGGTTTATCAGCGATGATAAACGCCGATGTCAATAAGTTTCTCAGAAGCAACGGAGCTATGGAGGAAGAAGTACTTTCTGTCATGGCCCCTTGGTCGGAAAATTCTCCCGTCAATGGTAGACGACAAGAATGAGAAATTTGAGGTCCAAGAAAACGCATTTTATATGAAAACGGGTCGGGTTCAACAGATTAACGAGTGATTGTGGACCATAAAAACATTAGACAAAACGTCATTGCATGCAAAAATATCCCCACCGTCGCTGTTGTTGTCAGTTAATTATCCCCGGAAATATAAAATGAACAAGATTGTCAGAAAATAATTAATACAGTAAACAATAAAATTGGAAGAATGTTCTTTTGGTAATACAATATTCTGTGATTCCAAATTTCAATTAGTATAGATTTTGAGAGGTAAAAAATGAAAAAAGTAACGGGGTATTTGCTATTTTTACGGCAAAAGAGATTTTAGGTTAATGGTGAAGATTCGATTAATGAGAGCAATATCCCCCACCATTAATTGGTAATCATTTACTCTTTGAATTTATGTTAGTTTTGTTAATTAACACGTATAATTATTTGCCTTTGTAAATGGTCAAAGAATCTTGGACAGATTCACATTTCATGCAAGGATATCCTCAGTAATAAACGTTTTATCATTCAAATACGTATATACTAATTAAAGCTCATGATCCAAAAAAATAATAATTTATGTTTCAATACACAATATATAAAAGAATAAAAGGAGACATATCCTAAAAGGGATAAAAAATGAGTGGGTCTTACTGATCAAATACTAGAAGACCGGGGAACACTAAATGAGTAACTCATAAAAGAAATTAAATTTCAAGTTGCCTATCTTTTTTGGCAAGTAATTATATACACATATCTACGGTGGTAGAATTAATAACAATAGCCACAAAAAATATACTCCATTTACTTTAATATATTATTATTATTTTACTTGACACGTCAACAGACATCGATTTAGACAGCCACATAAATTGGAGCTACTACTTATAATTGTTGAATTGTTCAACACGATTTATTGACGATTCCCTTATGGCCTTAAATCCCGGTCAACCCCTTGCTACTTGATAACGCTATGTTGAGTTGCTAATTAACTTTTGACTATTGTTCGTACGAGTCTTAATTCTTTCTTGTTATATGTTTTTTTTAATACATCAAACAGTATTATAATTAATCTAAATAGCTGTGTAACGTCCATTCAATCGTTTAAATTTAATAACAGCCGAACAAATTATATATATACTAAGTAAAAATTTGTTGGTAGTTTTACAAATGAAAGTAGTATAGTTGTTCTCTTCTTCTTTTTTCCCCTCTGTTATGACGACAATTTCATCACTACACAATGGTTACACTGAGATACTTGAAAGAATAGATATGAATTGAGTCGCTAATGAAAAATCATATAACTTATAAGGCTCACCAAAATATGTTTCCATTTCAAGATCAAGAACTCTTATAACTCACTTTTCGAATTTCAATTTACTATGACCAAGAAATTTTGGCATTCTGCAGAATTAGATTGTTGAACTAAATCATCAAAAAACATACTCATATTCACCATTTCATGAAGCAACAGTTGAAGTGTTCATGCAAAGTGACACAAAGAATGATACTGAGAATCTACAAACTGAATAAATCAACACATAACAACCACACGGCCCGAGTAAAGAATTTAAATATTACAGAGGGTTGGGGGAGAGGAACATAGCATAATCTCTTTTCTGGAAACATTTTAATAATTTATGCAGGATTGTCCGAGACTTTATGCATTCTGTCAGTCTATAGAAGTGCCTCATCTAACAAATACCCCTCTAATAAATATATATACTGCACACTGCGATAAATTCCCATGGATCAAAATTACCCCTTAAATCGGACAACAATGCATGAGATATCATCTTTGCTTTCTCTGACCAATGCTTCGATCGCTAATTGCTTGGCTGCCTTCTCTGGATCTTTGACCTTCCTCACAATGTCAACTGCCTCTTGATTAGACATTACCTGGAGAAATCCGCAATCAAAAGCAAGAAAAGGAAAAAATGCACCTCAGAGTGCCAAAACAGAAAGGGATAGGAGATGTTTCGAGCAAATGGCACCTTCCATAGACCATCACTTGCAAGTATGAGAAGATCTGTTTCCGCATCAACATCAGCATTTGTTACATCAGGATCAGAGCTCAAATGTGATTTCAAGTTTTTGTCACCAAAAGCTCGAGATACAGCTAGTTGGCCATTCACTCTAGCAACATCTCCTGAGATTATATACATTTCAATAGGCATGTCACTAACAATATCCAAATGCAGCAATACATGAGATACCTTTGAATCTAGATCAAATAGGCATGGGATGGCTCAAGTGTGAGGCTAGTGAAGTGTCTGCTTTATGCATCCAAAATGTTTTAATGGTGAAGTTTATGATTTTATTTTCACTTTAAACAACTCTAAAAATTGTAAGAGAAGGTACAAAATTTTTATATAATATAAAAAAAAATGTGCAAAAAAGACTCACTGGACTACTAATCCTGAACCCTGGCAACGTGAGATGAAGTATCACACTAATTAGAAAGGAGAAATTAGAATATCTCATTGATTTTTATCAGAAGCATAGAATTGGTACTATCCACTCTATTAAGAAAAGTGAAGATAGACCATTCGTGCCTAAGATTAAGGTTATGTATATTTAAATGTATGAACAAAGTCGAGACTTAAGAAACTTAATGGATGCAATCCATTTTTAATATGCATTACAATGTAAGAGAGAAGAACGACACAATTATATCCACAGGAGTAAGTGAGAGCATGTGAGAAGCACCTGGCATGTTTGAGACGAAACCACCTCTGTTTTCAATGTCATCTCGTTCGGTGTTTGGTTCATGATCAATCGAGAGCTGGATGGCCTGACCCCTCCTAGAAAGGACTGCTCTCGAATCCCCAACATTTGCTACCCATAGCTTACGACCATTTATAAGAATGGCAGTCACGGCAGTGGAGCCACCTCTTCCAAGATCAGGAGAGTGTGAAAGAATAGCCTGATCTGTTCTCTCATATGCTTTTAAAATTGCCCTATGAGGGTCATTCCGAAAATCCTCCTAGAAATTTTTAACATAAAAGGTGAGAGAAATCCCAAGCAAACACCCCCTCTAAACCAAAAAAAGAACAATAAATAGACATCCATTAAAGAAATAAAACAGCTCAAGATTAAATTATCATGCATTTGATGTTTATAGGAATTTCTAAGATTGATTAGTTATAATGCATGGCATCACACTCTTACATAGGACTTGATCAACATCTCCACTGGCATTGTGTGTTGATCTCTAAAAGAAGAATACTTTAGCTTCTGTTTAACCAAATTAGCAAGAGAGACTGACCGGTAACTTTACCAACTTCCAGCTGTTGCTCATGCTAGAGCACTAATATCATTCTCCAATCAAAACCAACAAATGCAAGGTATAGAAAGAGGGGGAAGCGGAAGCATGTATTAATATGTTTTGATGAAAATCGGTAACATAGCCAGTAAATTGTCTTACTAAAAACACAATGATCCTCACGGATCAGAGAAGAGAAGTTTAATTTGCAGAGGGGTTCCGAACCCCGCAATTTACCTCATTTAAGATATTGGAAAACAAATGCTTTTGTAAATAGGCAGGCACGCTATCTCCCAAATGCCCATCATAAATAGCAAAGAGTCCTAGTTCATGTCCATGCAATTGGACAAATTTAGAAACATGGTAATCTTCCATGGGGTGATTAGCTTTCCCCTTAACCAGGCTGAAGCCATACTTGGTAGGCCCTTGATTGCTTCTTCCTTTGCCAGAGCTACATGATGACCGTCCTCCTGCAAGCTAAAGTAAAAAATGATACTTCAGCCTTGTGATCAACCCAGCCAAATACACACAATGCAGACAGCCATAAACTGAATTGTCCACCCCAAAAAAACTGGATGAGGCGGTGATGAAGACGAAAGAGAGCTTCAACGGAGACTTTTTAATACTATGGCCTCTACATATTCACAAGAAGGGGCACTGTTATGAAACTAAACTCTTGAAGTCATTCATCGGGTTTTTGTAGAAAGAAGACCAATGGAACACCAATCATGGAAAATGTCAACAGTAATCCAATCCACCGCGGGGAAAGGGGGGAAGGGGGGTAAAGTGCAATGGTACATGTTCAAATAATATCAGAGAATTATACTCCATATATACGCTCATTGTGAATATTGATAGCATTTAAGTTGCCCGGACTCTTCACTTTTGGTGCCGCACCAGTGTCGACACGACATGGGTGTGGAATTTGTATCCAATTTAGTCAACCTATTTGGGTACTTCGACCAAAATCGATGGAAAAAGTCTGGACAATTTTAATCATTTTTGTAATCAATACAAAAGGTAAGGTGAAATTGAAGGAACTAGATACCTTTCATATAGAAATTTCTATTTCATTCCTTTTCCTTTGATCACCTTACAGATTCTCCTCAAGTTCTCTACAAGTCCACATAATATTTCATAATTTAGGTTTTATGACTCTATTTTTAGATATTTTAATTTTTCTTAGGCGAATCCCTGCACCTGTATCCTTACATGAATCCATATCCCCGAATATTAAAAGTTAAATGAAGTATCTGACCTTAGGTCCACACCCATATCGGACACCCGCACTGAGTCCGGGCAACTTAGGTTAGAATGTTGTAGGACCAAGCAACGCGTTTTAGAGCCCAACAAAGAAGAGAAATAAAGAGCTTAAGGGTGTGTTTTCTATGGAAGAAAATATTTTTCGGAAAATGTTTTCTTCTTTTATCATGTTTGGTTTGACTTAGACAAAATTTGGAGAAAAACAAGTTCCTTAAAAATGAGGAAAATGATTTCTATAATGGAAGTAGGGAAAAAAATTTTTATTAGTAATATTCTACATTTATTGTATTCTCCCAACCAACCAACTCCCTCAACCCCCTACCCCTTGAGAATCCCACTCCCCACCACCCCCCAGGCTCTACATCCCACCCCCTCCCACCCTTATAGTGTAGTGTTTGGGTAGATTACTTTGCTTAATCACCAAACACTAGAAAATAAGTAAGAAACCAACTTGTTTTCCAAGCAAACATTTTCTAGGAATTCTCCTTCATACCAAACACACACCCCTTGAGAGATGAAGTGCAAACAGGCTAGCCTGGACACCATATTATCCAAAATAAAATATCAAAATACATTAGAAAATCCTCAATCTTCCCTGTCCCTCCCCCGCTAGGATAGACTAAGAAAATCTCCAAAATATCTCTACTCCCAAAAGAGGAACATAGTTCAATAAGACCCTGCATACTTTAGCTAAGTACTTTATACACTCACAATGCAATGAATCTTTACACTATTAGTATTATTTAATCTACTATAGCATATTATTTACATTTATTTCAGGTTACAAATCAATATTTATTAAGTAGAACTAGTTACATGCTATTCCCTTTTAAATGACCTGATTGTGTGTATATATTCACGCTGTTCGTGCACATACCTTAAACTCTTAAGCTAAACCCCTCAAATACTTCCATCTGAGAAGCTAAAAGACCCTTGATCTTATCATATTATAATTTATTTAATGAACAGCTAAACAATAAGCATAAAACTTAAAAAGGGAAAATAAATATTCATCAAGCAAAATCTAAAAGATCCCACCAATTAAACCTCACCTTCGAGAACTTTGAATTAAAGCAGCATAAATTATCCATATAATCAGTCACACCTAAGCTGCCTCCTATAGTAAGCAACGTGTACCATAACCCCTCCTAAAAATCTTGATATTCACAACCACCTGCAACATGAATCTTGATCGTCAAATACATAAAATTAAAAAAAAACAATCAAAATTTATCCAAGAATCCATTTTTCTTCAAGATTCACTAAATTCTTGAAAAATAAAGCTTGGGTATTGAAAAATAATCATCTACTCACCGATCCACCAGTCTACAAAATTCCAAAGGTACAAAGAGTGATATATCAATAAGATTTGACTTTTAGCTTGAACGAAAATAAATAAATATATATATATTATGTTTAAACAGAACCAAAAATAAGAGATTTAAAGAAATAAGATAGAACTGGATGAATTATTTTACGAGTTTAATGGAGTTTGTGAGAGAAAAAAAGTTGGATTCGCTGTGTGTGCAGGGGAGAAATGGCTGTCAAGAAAAGGCTTTTGTTTTTGGGTTTTTGGGCTTCCCTTATTGACTTTGTTGTGTTTTATGTATTTCTTAATTGTTTTGTACTAATGTTACAGCCAGTCAGAGGGGACTACTTGTCTTTTCTTTCTTCCTACAGCTGTTTCCGCTTTCATTTTCTTTTTATACGTACTTTCAATAATTATTTTAGAATTAAATTATAATAAATTTTAATTAACATTTTATGATTTAATTTTTTATAATATTAATATGTAAAATTTAAAGTATTTTTAATATAATTTTTAATGTTTAAATTTTTTTATTTTAATATTAAATTAATGTTGTCTAATTTAATTTTGACAATTCAAAATGGACGGATAAAGTAATACTCATCTCATATTAATTGTTCATTTTCTCGTATTTTAACAAATTACTAATTTTTTGTCTTAATTTATGTGACGCTTTTTGTTTTTCAAGAGTCAAATATTTTAAGTTTGACTAGAGATTTGGGATCTTTGATTTTTTTGAAACGAATTTTACATATGTTGTAAACTACGTAAAAAATACTATATGTTTAAATGATCTATGAAATTTATGTTCAAAAATCAACTTATTTGTATTTCAAAATTTAAAAAGTGTCACATAAAATGAAATGGAGGGAAAAAACTTTTTATTAATTTATTCTTTAATTATTTTTGTACATTCTATTATACATCTCATCCAAGATTAATAGTGAAAGAACCTTTTTAGAACCCTATAGTGTTTATATTTTTTTAAAAATAATTAAGAGTAAAATAGAAAAAAAAATAATTATTTATAATTTAGTTTTATTAATTAACAAGTAATTTGAGATATGTAATACAAACAAGTAATATAGAATAGAAATATTTTATTTTTAAAAGTGAAAATATTTAATGATTATTTGGTAGGGTAGATTTAGATACGAGTTGTGGAGATATTAATTCCATATAAGTAATATTATGTTTGATACTTGACTCGAATTTAAAATGTTAATGTATAGAACTGATAGTCAATATTTGATTCATGATTTAGAATTGTATAATTAATACATGTATAAATTATAAGTAAATTTATATATTATTTTATATATAATAAAAGATAAAAATCACTACATATATAATTAAATTTTAATAAAATAATATATAAATTTATTTATAATTAATTATATCGTTCTAAAATTAAACTCTAATTAATCACCAAACGACTTAATAAATAAAGTAAAAATGGAATGAAAAAGGGGTTTAAGGAAATCGTTCTAATATAAATTAATCTATCAACAGAAAAAGTAGTAGTACTAAAACACTGATCATTAAAACTTGCGATCATGTTCTTTGGTTAGCACTTTTTACTTTTTAAATGTAATTAGTTTAAATTTATTAAAGAACCTTTGCTTTTCAAACTGTTTATCACCAGTTGTGCCCACTACTCTTGCCAAATAAATTGTCCTAAAAGATTTATTTTAAGGATTGATGATGATATAATAATAAAATAAAAAATGATTCTTGCCATAGTAAAAATTAAATGTACTACTACTTCTTTTATTTTAAAATTTTCAATTAAAGCTTTTTTCATTTCCTCTACTTTTATCTTATTCCTTTCTTTTTTTTTTTCTTATCTTTTTGTAAAGCTCTCTGCCTCTCTGTCACAAAAAAGCAAAATACAAAAAGAGATCGTCAACGGAATTGGCATCTGCAGTTCACGTGATGATGAGTTTCCCAAAATTTACCAATAATATCCAAGCAAATTACTACACTTCACTGAAAATATTGGGCAAAGTCAAAAGGGGTAATTGTTTTTTTTTTTTTACTGACTGTTATTTTTACTATTATTTTACCAGCGGCGATAGGATAAAGGATAAGAAATAATTTGATACGTCATTTAACTAATAACAGGCCGGCATAGAATCAGGCGGAAAATCAAATCAAACGGACCTAAATTTTTTCTGTGAATAGAACAAATAAAAACAATACGGTAGACCAAATGCAAGTTTGCTCCTTTTTGCGACATCTCAACCAGTTTGACCGTTCATTTATACTACTATTAACATAGACATAATTAAAATTTCACCAAATAACAAATTCTTGGAACAATTCATCGCAATGAGACGGCTGAGACGAGTTTGCTATGTTCCTCGGTGACTTATATCTTCTGTCTTCTTATTTTTTCTGACAAGCGTACACAAAAAAAATCCAAAATTTTACCTATGAATTTTTAAAACAATTTTAAATTAATGCATAATGATTTCACTACATATTTATAAAATAAAAATTATTAAATTTAAATAAACTCACGTGTTAATGGATTAAATGGATGATGGAAAGGATTAGCATGTTTGAATGAATGATCAACCGGTGAAAGGAGGGCCCTGGCGCCTGGGCTGTCTCAACGCGCATTGCAGTCCAAATCTTTTTTGTGAAGTAAATTCAATTTTATTAGGAAGACCATTGACAAGTCATTTGGCTATTAATTGACTTCATATCATCCTTTTACACACCATATCTTATGAATGACGCAGAACTTAATTTTCACATTTATAAGATTCAAGTGGTCTATGTACGTACAAAGCTAAACAGTCAAACAACCAATAGATGCCCACTTTGAAATATTTACGTCAAGAATTTTTATTGACATACCACATATTTCTTGAGAAACATATTTAAGTACATAAATAAAAAGGCGACTTTCATTTTGATTACTCATTTCGTTCAATTTTAGTTATCTAATATTTTAAAAATATACATAATATATAAACATGATCCTTAACTTGATTTTAACGAATAACTACGTCCTCCAATTTTTGACGTGCACAAGTAGACACTTAAACTTGTATAAAATTAAACAAGTAGACACAAGTGTACGTGGCATAATACACGTAGGATGTCATGTAGGATACAAAATTGTTATGCAGGACGATGCGTCCATTTACTCAATTTTATACAAGTTTAAGTGTCTGCTTGTGCTCGCACCCAAAGTTAAAGGTCATAATTGTCAATTGACGTCAAGTTAAGGGTCATGTTTATATATTATGGCTTAATATAATTGTCCAACTTTATTTGACCATTTGGAGAATTAAGAGATAAGTTATCATTTCATATCTATTTTACCCAATATTAAAAATTAATCATTTTTTAATATTTAAATTATTTATAAATAATAAGAGTGGTATAATAAAATTACCACTCTATTTATTGTTTCTTTAGGTGTGTATCAATTTTAATATGTACAAAAAAAAAAATGAACAAATTAAATATTTCCAAATTAATATCGTTAAAACATAAAATTACTTAAAAGAACCTCATAAAATAAAAGATATATATGGACAAAGGAAGTACATTATTTGGTAAATCTTGTGGCTCATCCTCATCCTAACCCTTTAAATCTCATCTTAACCCTCGATTCAAGGAAAACGAATTGAAAATTGTCAAATTTTCGATCACTTTGAAGCTTTCAAATGAACAAGATATAAGAGAGGGGGAAAGGGATCATCATATATGGAAATTGATTATTTTAATTACATTTCAAATCAACCTATATTTAGATTTTTTTATTTTATTTCTTGCAATAAACTTGGAAAATTCTTTAAGTTATTAAAACTACAGAAAAGGGTCAAAAATACTCTTAAATTATCTGAAATAACTCATATATACGCTTAAGCTATATTTTGGCTCAAAACTACCCTTTTCGTCAAACTATTGGATCAAAAGTGTCCTTCTAATGAACAGAAATTGTTAAATGCTATGTGGATGCCACATGAATGCCACATGACACCCAATAGACTTTCACTGTCACATAAACTAAAAGGAAAATGGTTAAACCCTTAAACTATCCAAAATAGCTCATATATACCATTAAACTAAATTTCAGTTCAAAACTATCCTTACCGTCAAACTATTGGGTCAAAATTGACTTTCTTATTAGTGAAAGTTGTTAAATTCCACATGTGCCACATTTACTAAATTCCTAAATCTTAATTACTCATTTTCCCCTCATTTCATTATTTTCCAGAAACAATTTCACTCCTTCTCCCTCATTTCGCAGTTAAGATTTCACAGTTTTTTTCATCGCTGGATTTCAAAGTGAATATTCGTGATTTTAGTAAATTTTTTTCCTATTTTATTGTGTTTATAACCACGAAAATTCACTTTGAAACTTAGTTCCGAAGAAAGTTATGAAACCTTGGCCGCGAAATGATGGGAAAGTTGTGAAATTCTAACTATAAAACTTTGAAATCGTAAACGTAATAAAATAAGAAAAAATATTTACTAACCCAATCATGAATATCTACTTTGAAACGCAATCCTCAAGAAAGCTACGAAGCCTTAGCTGCGAAATTAGGGAAAAGTTGTGAAATCCTAACTATCATGCTTTGAAATCGTAAACATAATACAATAAGAAAAAAATTTACTAACCTACAAGCATGAATATCCACTTTGAAACCCAACCACGAATAAAAGTATGAAACCCTAACCGTGAATGAGGGAGAACAGGTGAATATATCATTTCTGAAATAATGAAATGAGGGGGAGAGTAATTACGATTTAGGGATTTAGTCTATGTGGCAGTGGAACCTTATTGGCATGCAATGTGACATTCACATGATATTTAACAATTTATATTGATAACAAGGGTACTTTTGATCCAATGGTTTGACGGGAAGGGTAGTTTTGAGCCGAAATATAATTTAAGGGTATATATGAGCTATTTCAGACAGTTTAAGGGTATTTTTGACCCTTTCTATTTAGTCTACGTGGCAGTGGAATCCTATTGACATGCAATGTGGCATCCATATGGCATTCACGTGGCTTTTAACAACTTTCGTTAATAAGAAGGGTACTTTTGACCCAATAGTATGACGGAAAGAATAGTTTTGAGCCGAAATAAAATTTAAGAATACATATGAGCTATTTCGAATAGTTTAAGGATATTTTTAATCTTTTTCCCTTAAAGCTATTCAAAATTCTTTAGTTTTATGTAATCCTTCCAAATAAGTAAATTATAATTTATAAATAAAGTATCAACAATTTATAAAACATCGAATGAATAAAATAACATATCTCCTAATTTAAATATATATTTGCGATTAAATGTTATTACAAATTTTCAAATTCATACAAATTTACAGAAATATACAGGTTAGTAAATCAATAGCAGCTAACTATTCTTGATAAAATCCTCTCACATGTCATAATACAAATAACTTCTTACAGGTTGATGACAAGCTGCTGCTTTTTTTTTTTTTGGTAAGTATAACAGTTTCATTTTTTTTCGTCAAGATTTATATTTAAATTTCAAAATTGATGAAAAGTTTAAGATGATTTAAAATCATGATCTGTATTTTAAATTAGAATTTTATGTAGATTTATTAAATAAAATGCTAATTTAAAATTAACCCCTCATACAGTATAAATATTTTTTAAAATTTATTATTCATAAATTATTAAATAAAAATTACTTTCCACCAAAAACAGTTTTCAAAATAAATAAATTTTAATAATTTGGTCAAATAGAAATACTAGTAGATCATAACAATAACAAACAATATGCAGATAGTAGTGACTAAAAAGTTGGCCTCATAACACGATTTTTGTACATTTGTCCTCCTTCCCCCTTCATCCACGTGTGGTTCCTCCAAACCCTCCACCCCACTCTTCACTCTATTTGATTTGAACGAACATCCCCATCACTTCACTCTCTACATTTTTCTTCATCTGTAAATCACCATTTTTGTTAGACGTAGTAGCTATGGTAAAATCTATAAGCTTTCTTCTTGAATTCGCAAAAGATTACGATGATGGAACACCACGAGTTCGCCCCATCTTTGATTGGTTCAATGCGATGATGGAGGTCTCCGATTATGAGAAACAAGCCATCTTTTATTCTCTCTCTGCCGCCTATGCCTTAGTCTCATTTGTTGCACTGGTACACTATTTTGTTTTTCTTAATTAGGTTAAATTTCATTGTAATTTTGCATCACATTTATGATTTATTCTCTATCATGTGGATCTTATTGGATTGATCCTAAATGAAAGTTGATGAACTGTTTTAGCGTTTAATGCTGAATCCCTCATTAAATTCGTTTTAAAACCCTATCTATGAGTGGAATTGGGGTCCATCTATCATTAGTTCGTTTTGTATGCCCCTATAGCCCTAGTTCTTAGGTCTAGGACTTCCATAGCACTCTATTTGTTGATAAAATGGCAGGAAACAGCTATGCCTGAGGATGAGTTGTGGTATTATTAGTGAAGTTGCTCGAGGACTTCTACTGGGAATGGAAGTTACCTATTATAGGATCCCTAGTAAAGCCAATTTAATCATGGCCCTTGTCTGCATAAGAAGAGGATAGCTCCTATTTATTGGTCTAGTGATTTCCTTTACATGTTATTAACTCTCTTTCAAAGAGATGACTATTCAAACCTTAGATTATTTGGATTCATGTGCTTTGTTAAAATTCTAGTGAAGGAAAAGGAGATTATTTTCTTGTTTGAAAGGGAAATGGAAGTTCAACTTAAGAATAAATCATTTCCATCAGCTTTATACATTTTTGCTATTTTCTTATCTTGGAAAATTTTCAATGGCTTGTCCTAAACTACTCCCTCATCAAATGCACAAAAAGCAAGAGAATTAACTCTTCAGTGCATTTCTTTTCCTAATCACTTCATGACAACCAAATGGTACCTTCAGGTTGAAACATTGACTTCTTTTAGCAAAGGGATCATTTGATTAGCAGATGGAGAAGGCGTGACAGTGACCAATGGTGAGAATATTTGGATAAGGATAATGTTAAGTGCATACCATAGGCCTATGTCACCTTGGACTTAAATGAGCTTGTGTTCATATTTACTAAGAAAGCCTTAGTTGATTCTATTATACTCATCAAATTTGGAGAAGCTACTATTTATCGCTTGATTACTTTGCCTCTCAATTTCAAAGTGCACATTTCTTTGAATTTGCATTGCTTCAGCAATAAGAGTGATGCCTTGTTTTCCATCGCTTCGTCGCTGTAAGCGATAACTAATAACATGGGTCTGTTCACATTTCTTTTAGATGAGGTGGTCATGTTTCGCTTAACTGTGGATGCTTGGTTGACCCATGTGCCTTATAAATTGAATGAGGTAGGGTCAAAACAAAAATTTTACATTTTAAATCAATAATTCATATTCTTATTCAAAAACAACGTAGACTCGTTTAGTAATAACTATTACAGTTGTGGTCTATATGTAGAGCTGAATCCTGACCCTTGGACTAGACCAAAATTCGCAAGGTGCATCCATGCAGATATCATTACACGGAACTATGAATAAAAATTATTATATAATAAGCCGTTGGGAGCTAACCCAAAAAGTAATAGCCCATCCTTTTGGAGATGGAGGATGTATTTTCATAGTCATGTTGGGGTTGCTAAGAGTGGCAGAACATGGAGATAAGCAAAGGGGTAAAGTTACCACATTCACCCTAATCTTCTTTCTTCTAATCCCAACCAAAGAAGTGGCTCGTATGGGCATGGAGGTAGATTTATTGTTTTCTTGTTAATTTAGCAACATTTCTTTTGCCAGAATTATTGTTAGTGCCAGCATTAATGACATTGCTTTGGACTTGAGATGAAGCCTGGGAACCTTGACAGTTAGACTTGACACTAGAGTTTTTACTACTAGGATTGTAAATGAGTTGGCAGGAGGGAAAACCAGGACATACGATCAAGATACATTTTGCGGATGTCAGAACACTCTTAGTTTATATTGCTTGGACTCTTCAAAAATGTAGATAGGTGCATGTTGGATACTCCATAAGTAGTCATTTTTGGGGAATCCGACAGGTGACACGGGTACAGTAATATTTTTGGAGATTCCGAGCAGCATAGATTTTGTTTCCTACTAATCGCTCTTACCAAATGGAAGGTTGATATTTGATTAGATTTGTTGAGCTACAATTCTAAAGTGGTTTTGAGGTAAATGGTTGCTAGTCCCCCTTAACTACTCCATGTCTTCAAATAAGCAGGAAGTACATTCTCAAATATGACAATTCAACTTAACTGAGAATTTGTGCCTAGCCTGAAATGAATAAGCAACTTTGACTCTGCATTGACAGCACAACATAAAAAGGTCACATTCTTTCAAACTCAGTCTGCCACTCTTCTTTCCGTTCTCTTTGCAGCAGGTTTCCACAAGAGGTCCAAGAGGCATGGAAAATGAGTGTAAAGTAAATGAAAACATGTAAGCGAGATAGACTTGTTAATACGAAACATTTTCAATATTGACTCATGCAACTGAACTATGGAGTGGTAAACACATTTACATGCTCGAAACAAAAAAATTGCACATTTCCTTATTTATTTCATTGGATAATTTAATCAAATTGAAAGTAAATAGGGCTTCCAAAAGAAGAATAAAAGAGAGGAATGTATTAAAAGATCTGCCTGCCAAATTTCATTTCTCCTTATCTTTTGCATGTCATTTGTAGTTATTGTTTCATGCTTTCTCATTGAAGCTGTATGCGTGTGTTTGTATGTCATGTTATTCAGCAGTCCATGGGGTATGGAAGGGGTAACATTTATTTATTGGTAACTCGGATTATTACTATTTTAATGGTCTGGACACTGGTAAAGTAATGATGACACTGCATTTTTTTAGTACTACAGTGAGCTTTGGAAAAAAAATAAAATAAAATTTATCCGAATTTCCATCAGCATTCCAGCTAGCTTGTCTTGATGAGACATGTGCTGATTTGCACTTCTCCGAGTTTGTCATCTCAACATGCTTCCATGTGTTATGTGTAAATTACAGGTACAACTCATCCGCATCCAATTGCGCCTTTCAGGAATTGGTTGGACAACACAAAAGGTTTTTCACTTGATGAATTTTGTTGTCTGTGGATGTAAGATTTACTTTAATTTCTCAATGTTCTTCCAGAAGTTGTTCATATCAAGTTATTTTAATGCTCATAACCAAATGATTATTGGCAGTGAGAGCAATATTATTTGGGTTCTACAGCAGCGTGTTCAATCTTAGATCAAAAGTAAGTTTCTTCTTTCCCTTTACTTAACTATTCTGATTCTTAAAGGACAATTTCAGTTCGCGCACTGCGGGCGAATAATTTGCGAAGTAGACTATTAACTCCTAAAACTTCTAGAATGGACTTTCCAGGGAACTACAATGCAAGCAAAGGAATTTTAACTCATGAACGTCACCATTTAAGTACCATTTTGTTTAATGTTGATGAAACAAATTATTGCGAATCTTTGAACCTGTACTGAACAATTTATCCTTTTTTAGCATCAACTCATCACCATAATAGAAAATTGTGTCAGTTGCTGCGAGCCTGTGAATTTAATGTATAATGTATGGATTTTTACTTAATAATTAGGCTTCATTATGCACGTTCTACTATTGCTGTTTGTTTGGACCGTTTTGTGAGCTATGCACAAATAGTCAAATCACCAGATTCTACTACTCTCTCCGTATTCCGCTACTTCATAGTTGATATGAACCCATACTGACCTTATTAGACCAATGTTTCCAACTCACTGAATTTGATTGCAGGATACATATTAGAACAGTTTCCCTTTTATTATATACATCCCATGCGTCAGAACTGGGGTCCATGTTTAATTTCACATTTTCCTTAAAGAACAGTCATTATGGCATTGTGATTTGTCTGCGTAGCTAACACCAATCAACATTTAAACAGGCACTTGAGATGATGCTTCTGGATCTCCCCGGTCTTCTATTCTTCTCCACATACACACTATTAGTTCTGTTTTGGGCTGAAATATTCCATCAGGTAATGCTATTTGGTTCTCAAAAGGTTTTAACAAACTACTCTAGACAAGATATTTTCAAGGGAATTATGTTGGTTTGTTCGTCAATTATTTTCTCTTGGAAGAATCACTACCTATTTTAAATATTTTCATCATGGATCAAGTCTTGCTCATTTCTTATTAATTTTCACAGGCAAGAAACCTTCCAATCGATAAACTTCGACCTGCATATTATGCAGTTAATGCAGTCGTATATTTTATACAGGTAGTTCATCAGCGTCCTATTCACTTTAAATTAAAATGTGTCCATGCATAAGCAACAAAAGCCTCTGGGAGTTTTCTTCCTATTTATGTAACCATGATGTGACTGCAGATATGCATATGGATCTTCATCGGTGTTGGCCCAGCTTCGGCTGCTGTTGAAACTGCTAAACTTTTTTTCGCAGGTCATGCTCTATCTCTCTTTCAGCATGCAAATGTTACTAGGCAATTTTAGTCTACTATCTTAGTTTAAAAAAGTCTGATTTTGCACTTTCTGCAGTTATTTCATTTACTGCTGCTCTGGGATTTGTTATGTATGGTGGAAGGTAATTGGTTCCCCAGTAGTGTAGAAGTGACCATATTCACATTTGTATATCCATGTTTCGTGAAATTGATCCTTTCTTTCCTTTTTAATCTCTCTCAAGGTTGTTCGCTATGCTTCGGCGCTTCCCTATTGAATCTAGAGGCCGTCAAAAGAAGCTTCATGAGGTTTGCACATGAAATAGCTGTTTTCCTCTTCTTTTCAATCATTATCTTGCCATGTACACTGCTTCAATCAGAAGCAAGTCTACATTTCATTTTGGTGCTTGTTTATGCCTCAGAAACAAATGCATCTTTTTGAAGTCTCTTTGGTATTAAGTGCTACCATTTATGCCCAACCTCGCCGTAGTGTCTTCACGAAAGAACTACCAGAATCAAGTTCTTAGCTCCATCCTTTTTTTTCTTGATTGGCTAATAGCGTAGATAATAGGTGATATAAGCTGAATAATAAAAAACAAATAAATAAATAAAGAAAGAAAGAAAGGAAGGAAGGTGCTATTTTCCAATATATAAGAATACAACTAAAGGATTTACCCCAAACAATTTGTCTAATCTTTAGTGTAGAGTTACGTAATGTGTCTATACTTATTAAAGGATGCATGTGAAATAGTCCACAAATACCAGCCTTTATCAAAATATATTCAATAAATGAGGATTTCTGATATTAATATTAGTCAATCAATTGTGCCTTAATTCCAAACTAGTTGGTGTTCGGGTACATGATCCTGTGTTCTATATCCCTTCAGTTAGGAATATTCTGATTTAACTAGGGGAGACTCTATTGCTGGGCCGGATCTTTCTTCCTTATCCAAACAATTTTATACTTGAAAGAATAAATTTGAAAAATTATTCAATGTGGTTTGGTATAATCATTCATAAAGGAAAATTAATTATGAAGGGAAGACATAATTTCGCATAATGATATTTGCTCTGCTTTTGGCAGGTTGGTTTCGTGACTGGTATTTGCTGCATTTGTTTCATGATCAGATGTGTTATGGTAAGTTTCCACTATATCTGGGGTAGGGATGTTTGACCCTAGCTAGCATGAACAAAAATATTCATTTCCATCTTACAGGTTGCTGTTTCTGCTTTTAACGGGAACGCTGATGTTGATGTCATTGACCATCCAGTTCTCATTCTCTTCTATTACGTGGTAATAATTGAGTTAATTTTGATACTCAATAGCTGGTTAATCACTTACAAGCCTATTGTCCCAGTTGCAAATATTATGCTAAAGTTTATTTATAGGGATGTCAACGGGGCGGGGTGGGCGGGGATATGTGATTTTTTGTGGTTCAAACTTAATTTTAACTTTGTAAAAAGTGAGAGAGCATTATTTATTTAGATAATTTCATTAAAGCTATTAAAATATTGAAGATAATAAATGTAAATGGTTCAATAAAAAATAGTATAATTTCTTGCCTGTTTTCCAATTTACCAGTAAAAGATAAAATTTTAACTCACTGTTCTATTAAATTAATACAACTTAACGAAAAAATGAATTTATTTTTAGTATTAAAGATAATTAGAAAAAAAGTAATAAAAAATTATGCGGGGCGGGTTGAAAATGAAAAAGTGTTGCCATGCAGGGCGTGGCGGATTGAAAATTTTGCGGGTTAAGCACAAAACCGTGCTGCCCCTGCCCTACACCGTCCCGTTCCATTGGCATCCCTATTTATTTAACCTTTTATCTATCTGTGACCATCTCATAATTTTCAAGCTTTTATAGGCCTAAAAGATCTTTAACAAAATGATCCATCTGTTTTGTATATTTTACGCAGGTGGTGGAGATCTTGCCTTCTGTTTTGGTGCTTTTTATTCTGCGCAAATTACCTCCAAAACGTGTATCAGAGCAATATCATCCTATCCAATAACTCATAGAAGAGCATCCCTGATTTTAGTACTTCACCGTTTTTGTTCAAAGAAGCCCTTGTCATGCCAGCCAAGTTTTTAGTTCTTATAATATCATTTTTGCTTTTATTGTTTTGGCGCTTGTCTCGAGTGACGTGGAGGAGTTATAGTTTGATTTCAGTACAGCTCTGTAGAAGTCTTGAATTATAAATTATTCAAAGTGCATGTGACTTGTAATCATTTGGATAGAATTAGATGTTCGAAGTTTAAAGGCCTTGGGTTATATTGTGCGTCTACTGATACAACTCATATTTGTTCCTTCTCATGATCATAGGTTTATTTGATACTTTCCTAGAACATTTTGAGACCAAGTGACTCGTTATTCTGCGTGTGTCTCTTGTTGGGCATTTGCATAGGCATTGTCACTGCCGCTGCAACGGAACCCAACAGAAAATAGGAAGGAGTTGTTTGGTACTTCACTTTTAGCGTGGTGCCGTACCTCCTTTCGGACGATACACCGTTGCCCAAAAAAACTGTCACCACCAACTCACGTGGCTCCAAGACTTCTTGCATCAGGATGGGTGATTGTGCATGATCACTTCCGTTTTTAGAATTTGATTATCCACAGAGAATGTTGTAAAGTTGTTTCAACAATTTCAGATGATAGATTTTAGGTTTACTTAAAGGGGTAATTGGTAGTTAGTAGAATTACTTTTTATGAACTTTTCTTTGGATTCTTTGTTCATCTCTATTTTATAATTTAATTACTATTCTTGTCGTGCATATTTATTTTTTCATGTTTTACTTATTCAGAATATGGTGGATGTATCAATCAATTATGCCTTGGTTCCAAAAGGTGAGGACGGTTATATGTATCCTCTATAACTATTCCTTTGAATTCCATCCCAACATATCAATTACATTAGAAGACTTATTTGCGTTCTGCAGCGTTTTTGTCCTCCATAATCCTAAATAGTTAATTATAACAAGTAATTAATGTTCGTCACTGTGATGAGAAATCTATTATACGAAAAGGTTTTTGTCAAGAATAGACAAATTAGATCTGTGCAAGGCTTTTAAATGCATAGATAAAAGAAAGAGCGCCAAAAAGGCTAAAGAAAGTAACTTCATCTATATTTTGGGAAAAAAACTAAATGATTAGATAATTGAAGGGCTTGTGGTCTTTGTAGGAATGGTACTTGTCTTGGTATACTCTATATACTTTGTGTCAACCTTAGTGCCTGCAGCACACTCCACTCAGTTTTAACAAGTATCTCAATTCTAGCAAGTGCTTTCCTATGCAGCAATCCATCCTCACAATCTCCTTCTCCAAAGGAATCAAAAAGCAATCTGAAGCCTATACCTTCAAAAATTAGGTCATTTTGAAGTACACAACACATACACACTGCAAACACAAAAGAAGAAGAAGAAGAAAAAAAAAGTAGTACTCCGTACTTAAGTGATTTTATAAAGGCATTTAAAAAGTTTGATATTATATGGTAAGAATTTTTCTTCGAACTCTTAAAAATGAAGTTTTAACTCTATAAATAACAAAGACAGAGTCTTCCTTAATTAATTGACATTTCCTTACAAGTTATAACTTTTCATCATGGCTGCTCAAAACCATGTCCAAATTACCATTCCTACAGAAAATCAAGCCCCTGAAGAAGATTTTGACTACTCTCAAAGAGCACAGTGGCTTCGAGCCGTTCTGTTAGTCTCAATTGCATCTTGATGATGGGGGTTGGAGCTGTCCAAGAAAACGTCAAAACCATGATTCTTACTGTCTCTGCAGGGTTGTTTGCTGGTGCTTGTAGCATGGCTATAGGAGAGTTTGTTTCTGTCTACTCTCAACTAGACATAGAGCGAGCTCAAATGAAGAGAGACAAAGCAACAAGAGGACAGAAACGAGAACATGAAGAAGGTAACAAGAAACAGCTGCCAAATTTATTTCAGGCAGCAGTAGCCTCGACATTCTCATTGGGTGCCATTGTGCCAATTCTTGCTGCTGCATTCATAGCAAATCATAAGTTGAGGCTTGCTATGATCGTGGCAGCGGTGAGCTTGGCATCGTTAGCATATGGAGCAATTGGTTCTTTCTTGGGCAAAAGTCCTATGGTGAAATCTTGTGCCAGAGTTTTGATTGGTGGATGGATGTCTATGGCCATTACCTTCGGCCTTACCAAGTTGATTGGCTCTACTGGATTGGAAATATGATTGAAAACTTTATGTTCCTGGCCTGTACCTTGTTATAATTTAATCTCATCTAATCAAAATATTGGTACTGCTAATTGACTTAACCTTTTGTGTAATAATAACGCGAAATCTGATTTTATATTGATCCTTCTTCTGATAATGTTAGCTATGACACACAACCTTTTACTTATTCACGATAAACTCATCAAACTACACTTCATCATCAAATACAGTTAGGACTTGGGATTTGATTATATAAATCTTTCTCTATGAAAATCGTGTGACATCATCACAACAATCAGAATCCCCCTATACAGCTGCCTTATTTCTCTTTATTTTAACACTAAGAAGCTCTGTTTCACTAATAATGCTTTGTTTTCCCTTTCCATGGTTATTGACTAACTCGACATCAGATAAATCAGTATCCAAGTCACTAAAAATCCTCACCAAAATCGTTATAAGATGAATTTTCATGTGCAAGTTGCTCTTTGTCATATTGTTTGTATTCCCATTGTCTATTTTAAAATAAGAATCCGGGCGTTCAAAGTATATCTCATTCGCATTGTCTTTTCAGATGTTTTTACTAACTGGACAGGCTTTCCACACTATTGCAAAAAAGTTATTGAATCAAATGCATACACACAAATCTTCGCCATCTTTTTAAACTCCTGAAGAATCAATGCGTCCTTATTAATGTAATCAATATAGTCTATGCTGCCACTGATGTCATGCGTGTCTGGGTCCTCAAGTATCGGGTCTAAACAAAAAATATAGAATAAATCAAGACAATGGAAAATGCTTTGGCCTGATAATCACATACAATTTGCAACCATAACAAAGAAATTTCATGTTCAGAACTATAGAAACAATTCAAAAAAGAAGTGCATCAAATCAGAGGTCAACAGAATATTGTTCTAGGTTGTCACTTTGATGATGTATTGTAATTCCATTTATGTTTGCTGAACCAGTCCGGATAGAAAAGAACAACTGTGGCAGGTTGATAGCTAGTGTAAAAATGCCATGGTAAGTCATGTTGAGGTCGAATAGCGAGAAATAGTTGTAGAAGCTTCATATAATTGTCCTAAACTTTAATCGGGATCAAGGCAATATGTCTACCATATAGTGAATAAGTAAAAAGGTTGCGTCAAGTCAAACATGAATAAACAATATGCACGGAGATAGAGAGAGCAAGTAATTAAATTGTAAATGGTTTTAGTGCTGCCGTAGCTTAAATTCTTTCTCTATTTATATCAACTCATATTTGTTCCTTTCTCATATTCACCAGTAACTGTTCTTCTTTTTCAGAAAACGTTCTAAGAGTCACACGTGATTATTCAATCTTTTTGTGAAACGTGTCGAGATCAAGTTGCAGTAGCACATTGAAGAAACCTTACCCCAGAACACGAACCAGGTTCGTGTAAGTTGCTTTTAAGTAAAGACAGAGTAAAGACACAAACACTTATTAAATTAAAAACCTTCCTCACTCAAGGAAGGAAAAACCTCGTTTTATTAATTTAACTATAAGATTTGTGATTACAACTCAATAATCAAAAGCCTTATCTCTACTACTCCCTCGATTGACTTCAATCGATCTCTCCAAAAGGCCAAACCCACCTTTTGTTACAACTCTTACTAACACTCAACCCTACAAAGAGCCAAACCCATCCTTTGTACAATAAACTGTAAACTACAATTAAGAACAAAAACAAGACAACAATTCTACACGTTAAAAACCTTCTCACTCAAGAACGTTTTAAATGTAGCAAATCTATCAATCTTGAAGACCTCAGTTTGATGAATAATTTTCTCTTGTTCTCTGCGTGAAGTCATGGAATTTTTCATCAGCGTCTTCTTCTTCTTATAGAGTTCCTTTTGCCTTCAGTCCTTATCAGATAAGGTAAGGAAGTTATTGTTAAACAAGGATTCCCTTTTAAAGTACAATCCTTATTATATACAACTTCCTTCCTTAATAATATATTTAAGGTTTTCCTTATTTGTATCAACTTATACCTTTAATATATTATTTTTGACTTTGACAAATAACTCTATTTTCTTGATTACTTGGTTGACCCATTTTACTCGATCTTGGACTCGAGCTTGGCTTCTTTTGCTGCGTACATTTGCTACTGATTATTTGTGCTTCTTGTCTATCATCAAAACATGAATTATCGATTCTATCATATTCTATCATATTCCCCCTTTTTGATGAAGACAAACAAATCTTTCTATGTGATGCATGCGCAAATACTCTTCCCTCTTTTGAAAAATCAAAAAGAATCCAACAGCGGCTAAACAAACCCAATCAACATCCATAGCAACAATATAAGCCCAGCCAGTTGAGCATACTAAGTTTAAACAACTAAGAGAACCAGGTTCAAACAAGATGCTTTTTCAATGTGAAGGTTGACCAGGCTTAGTTGAAGCAAAAGCCAGCATATCCAGAACTCTGTCAACTCTTGCATTGTTAGCAAGTTGCTGCTGCACTAACTGATCCTTCAACCTGTGAATTTCAGCATTTGAAGTGTCAAGTTCAGCACGTAACTTATGGTCTTCTGACTCAAGAGTGACATACTTTTCTTCAGCTACTTTAAGTTCCCTGAGTGACTGAGCAACATGACCAGATGTACGTGGAGACGCAATTGCAACCTGCTCCGACTCCATGGGAATGCCATAATCAGCAAGAATGGTTTGAGTGAACATATCTGCACGAGTTAAAATCCTGCCTTCTCCCAATGGTACTTCAAATGCATCAAACACTCTAGTTAACAGATTTCCAAAAACTTCAATTCTTTGTCATCCATCAAAACTACAAACTTCATGTTTTCTCATTCCCCAAGAATTTCCCCCTTTTTGATGATGACAAACTATGCATATGTCTATCCACATTATATAATTTCCCCCTTTTGGCATCATTGAAAATCAATAACCAAAGAACTCGAATAACATTCAATGTGCGCAATATCACTTTTAACTCATAGCCACTTGGGCAACACTTTCAAGTACACTTCTACTAACAAAATGGTTAGTTAATCTGAGGATATTAGTCATCTTACGCTCATACACAATTAAGATCTTCAATGAGAAACGAAATAAA